CTGAATTCCAAAAATAACCGATGTACCCCCTTATAAAAAATGAGAAATTGGGTCAAAAAATAAATGTTCCTTAAAGTGATGGGGTTCGATAGCATTTGTAGCAAGCTGCTCAAAACAGTCGGTCTTTTAGCTGTACGCCTTGATTTGGCTGAGCTACGATCGAAAAACCACCAGAAAAGGCGTTTTCTTGACTAAAATCTGAAATCAAAAGAATCATGATGTAACCCCTTATAAAAAATGAGAAATTGGGTCAAAAAATAAATGTTCCTTAAAGTGATGGGGTTCGATAGCATTTGTAGCAAGCTGCTCAAAACAGTCGGTCTTTTAGCTGTACGCCTTGATTTGGCTGAGATACGACTGAAAAACCACTAAAAAATGAGTATTTTTGACCAAAATCTGAATTCCAAAAATAACCGATGTACCCCCTTATAAAAAATGAGAAATTGGGTCAAAAAATAAATGTTCCTTAAAGTGATGGGGTTCGATAGCATTTGTAGCAAGCTGCTCAAAACAGTCGGTCTTTTAGCTGTACGCCTTGATTTGGCTGAGCTACGAATGAAAAACCACTAAAAAATTAGTATTTTTGACCAAAATCTGAATTCCAAAAATAACCGATGTACCCCCTTATAAAAAATGAGAAATTGGGTCAAAAAATAAATGTTCCTTAAAGTGATGGGGTTCGATAGCATTTGTAGCAAGCTGCTCAAAACAGTCGGTCTTTTAGCTGTACGCCTTGATTTGGCTGAGCTACGACTGAAAAACCACTAAAAAATGAGTATTTTTGACCAAAATCTGAATTCCAAAAATAACCGATGTACCCCCTTATAAAAAATGAGAAATTGGGTCAAAAAATAAATGTTCCTTAAAGTGATGGGGTTCGATAGCATTTGTAGCAAGCTGCTCAAAACAGTCGGTCTTTTAGCTGTACGCCTTGATTTGGCTGAGATACGACTGAAAAACCACTAAAAAATGAGTATTTTTGACCAAAATCTGAATTCCAAAAATAACCGATGTACCCCCTTATAAAAAATGAGAAATTGGGTCAAAAAATAAATGTTCCTTAAAGTGATGGGGTTCGATAGCATTTGTAGCAAGCTGCTCAAAACAGTCGGTCTTTTAGCTGTACGCCTTGATTTGGCTGAGCTACGAATGAAAAACCACTAAAAAATGAGTATTTTTGACCAAAATCTGAATTCCAAAAATAACCGATGTACCCCCTTATAAAAAATGAGAAATTGGGTCAAAAAATAAATGTTCCTTAAAGTGATGGGGTTCGATAGCATTTGTAGCAAGCTGCTCAAAACAGTCGGTCTTTTAGCTGTACGCCTTGATTTGGCTGAGCTACGAATGAAAAACCACTAAAAAATGAGTATTTTTGACCAAAATCTGAATTCCAAAAATAACCGATGTACCCCCTTATAAAAAATGAGAAATTGGGTCAAAAAATAAATGTTCCTTAAAGTGATGGGGTTCGATAGCATTTGTAGCAAGCTGCTCAAAACAGTCGGTCTTTTAGGTGTACGCCTTGATTTGGCTGAGCTACGAATGAAAAACCACTAAAAAATGAGTATTTTTGACCAAAATCTGAATTCCAAAAATAACCGATGTACCCCCTTATAAAAAATGAGAAATTGGGTCAAAAAATAAATGTTCCTTAAAGTGATGGGGTTCGATAGCATTTGTAGCAAGCTGCTCAAAACAGTCGGTCTTTTAGCTGTACGCCTTGATTTGGCTGAGCTACGACTGAAAAACCACTAAAAAATGAGTATTTTTGACCAAAATCTGAATTCCAAAAATAACCGATGTACCCCCTTATAAAAAATGAGAAATTGGGTCAAAAAATAAATGTTCCTTAAAGTGATGGGGTTCGATAGCATTTGTAGCAAGCTGCTCAAAACAGTCGGTCTTTTAGCTGTACGCCTTGATTTGGCTGAGCTACGAATGAAAAACCACTAAAAAATGAGTATTTTTGACCAAAATCTGAATTCCAAAAATAACCGATGTACCCCCTTATAAAAAATGAGAAATTGGGTCAAAAAATAAGTGTTCCTTAAAGTGATGGGGTTCGATAGCATTTGTAGCAATAAAAATGAGAAATTGGGTCAAAAAATAAATGTTCCTTAAAGTGATGGGGTTCGATAGCATTTGTAGCAAGCTGCTGAAAACAGTCGGTCTTTTAGCTGTACGCCTTGATTTGGCTGAGATACGACTGAAAAACCACTAAAAAATGAGTATTTTTGACCAAAATCTGAATTCCAAAAATAACCGATGTACCCCCTTATAAAAAATGAGAAATTGGGTCAAAAAATAAATGTTCCTTAAAGTGATGGGGTTCGATAGCATTTGTAGCAAGCTGCTCAAAACAGTCGGTCTTTTAGCTGTACGCCTTGATTTGGCTGAGATACGACTGAAAAACCACTAAAAAATGAGTATTTTTGACCAAAATCTGAATTCCAAAAATAACCGATGTACCCCCTTATAAAAAATGAGAAATTGGGTCAAAAAATAAATGTTCCTTAAAGTGATGGGGTTCGATAGCATTTGTAGCAAGCTGCTCAAAACAGTCGGTCTTTTAGCTGTACGCCTTGATTTGGCTGAGCTACGACTGAAAAACCACTAAAAAATGAGTATTTTTGACCAAAATCTGAATTCCAAAAATAACCGATGTACCCCCTTATAAAAAATGAGAAATTGGGTCAAAAAATAAATGTTCCTTAAAGTGATGGGGTTCGATAGCATTTGTAGCAAGCTGCTCAAAACAGTCGGTCTTTTAGCTGTACGCCTTGATTTGGCTGAGCTACGATCGAAAAACCACCAGAAAAGGCGTTTTCTTGACTAAAATCTGAAATCAAAAGAATCATGATGTAACCCCTTATAAAAAATGAGAAATTGGGTCAAAAAATAAATGTTCCTTAAAGTGATGGGGTTCGATAGCATTTGTAGCAAGCTGCTCAAAACAGTCGGTCTTTTAGCTGTACGCCTTGATTTGGCTGAGCTACGACTGAAAAACCACTAAAAAATGAGTATTTTTGACCAAAATCTGAATTCCAAAAATAACCGATGTACCCCCTTATAAAAAATGAGAAATTGGGTCAAAAAATAAATGTTCCTTAAAGTGATGGGGTTCGATAGCATTTGTAGCAAGCTGCTCAAAACAGTCGGTCTTTTAGCTGTACGCCTTGATTTGGCTGAGCTACGATCGAAAAACCACCAGAAAAGGCGTTTTCTTGACTAAAATCTGAAATCAAAAGAATCATGATGTAACCCCTTATAAAAAATGAGAAATTGGGTCAAAAAATAAATGTTCCTTAAAGTGATGGGGTTCGATAGCATTTGTAGCAAGCTGCTCAAAACAGTCGGTCTTTTAGCTGTACGCCTTGATTTGGCTGAGATACGACTGAAAAACCACTAAAAAATGAGTATTTTTGACCAAAATCTGAATTCCAAAAATAACCGATGTACCCCCTTATAAAAAATGAGAAATTGGGTCAAAAAATAAATGTTCCTTAAAGTGATGGGGTTCGATAGCATTTGTAGCAAGCTGCTCAAAACAGTCGGTCTTTTAGCTGTACGCCTTGATTTGGCTGAGCTACGAATGAAAAACCACTAAAAAATTAGTATTTTTGACCAAAATCTGAATTCCAAAAATAACCGATGTACCCCCTTATAAAAAATGAGAAATTGGGTCAAAAAATAAATGTTTCTTAAAGTGATGGGGTTCGATAGCATTTGTAGCAAGCTGCTCAAAACAGTCGGTCTTTTAGCTGTACGCCTTGATTTGGCTGAGATACGACTGAAAAACCACTAAAAAATGAGTATTTTTGACCAAAATCTGAATTCCAAAAATAACCGATGTACCCCCTTATAAAAAATGAGAAATTGGGTCAAAAAATAAATGTTCCTTAAAGTGATGGGGTTCGATAGCATTTGTAGCAAGCTGCTCAAAACAGTCGGTCTTTTAGCTGTACGCCTTGATTTGGTTGAGCTACGATCGAAAAACCACCAGAAAAGGCGTTTTCTTGACTAAAATCTGAAATCAAAAGAATCATGATGTAACCCCTTATAAAAAATGAGAAATTGGGTCAAAAAATAAATGTTCCTTAAAGTGATGGGGTTCGATAGCATTTGTAGCAAGCTGCTCAAAACAGTCGGTCTTTTAGCTGTACGCCTTGATTTGGCTGAGCTACGACTGAAAAACCACTAAAAAATGAGTATTTTTGACCAAAATCTGAATTCCAAAAATAACCGATGTACCCCCTTATAAAAAATGAGAAATTGGGTCAAAAAATAAATGTTCCTTAAAGTGATGGGGTTCGATAGCATTTGTAGCAAGCTGCTCAAAACAGTCGGTCTTTTAGCTGTACGCCTTGATTTGGCTGAGCTACGATCGAAAAACCACCAGAAAAGGCGTTTTCTTGACTAAAAACTGAAATCAAAAGAATCATGATGTAACCCCTTAAAAAAATGCGAAAATTAGTCAAAAAATAAATTTCCCCAAAATTGATGCAGGTCGTTAGCATAGGAAACAAGCTATCCAAAACAGTCGGTCTTTTAGCTGTACGCCTTGATTTGGCTGAGCTACGACTGAAAAACCACCAGAAAAAGCGTTTTCTTGACTAAAATCTGAAATCAAAAACCCCTTAAAAAAAATGCAAAAATTAGTCAAAAAATAAATTTTCCCAAAATTGATGCAGATCGTTAGCATAGGAAGCAAGCTATTCAAAATAGTCAGTCCTATAGCTGTACTCCTTGATTTGGCAGAGCTACGATCGAAACACCCAAAGAAAAACGTTTTTTTTACTAAAATCTGAAGTCAGCATAAAAACAAATGATAGATTGAAAAAAGTTTGATCAAAGACGTTTGTGTCATAAACTTTGAAGCCCATGTGCAGACCCTAAGACTTTTTTTGTCAATTATTTTTTTATGCCTTTAGGCACACCGCATACGAGGACCTTGGACTTTCCGCACAGAACTTTTCATAGTGTTAAGAAAACAGCAGTTGAAAATATACATTCAGAATTGATTTTTATTGCATCTTCCGCTCGTCGCATTCATAATAAATATATATATAATTTAGTTATTTGCAATAAATATATAAATGTAGCATAATGTGCTTTTGTTGGAGTGAGGGTGAGGAGGAAGAGGAGGAGGAGGAGGGTGAGGGCCGAAGACGAGGGGGTGACGGGAGGGGGTCATGGAGGTCAGAGGTCAGGGTACAGGGAGCAGGAGGATTATGTACACACTTCTCGCGCTCTCTCCCGCACTAGCTCTCTCTCGCTCGCACTCGCTCGCTCAACTCCGAATTGTACATTAAATAAATAGTGAGTTTTTGATCTTCAAATGGGAGATTCGATTCGATTCGATACGATTTCGAGTGTTACAAAATAATATTGCCTGGGATAAAATATGCTATACGCTATTTGCTATTTGCTAATCTGTAATCCAATATCCATCGTTCAAATATCAGCTATCCTAGAAAATATCTATCCGTTTCGTTATTCCAATCCGATGTGTGAATTAATATCTAGAGGAGTGAAAGATCGATCCTTCCATGGGGTGTACTGGGTCTCGGTTTTCTTCATTTTTTTCCTGTTTGGGGCTTTTAAACTCTACAAATATGTACGCGAGTCGTCCGACTGGGACCAAACGTTGGCCCACATGTCCGGCGCCAAATCTTCGCCATCGTCGTCGTCGTCGTCATCATCATCATCATCATCCGATTCCGGTTGGGTTTTCCACTTGTCATCGGGTCGAGTGCAAGTGTGTGGCTAAAATGTTTGGGCATTGCGACAGACGCCGCATCCCAGGGCGAACTCTTCGCCGGTGGGCGGATGCATCACGTGCAGCGGGCACTCGTCGCCCAGCAGCTGCTTGGCCTTCGGTCCGGCCGGGCACTGCGGCAACTTGACCTTGGGTATGTTGGTCAGTCGCTGGAAATCGTCGTGGCAGGTGTCGCAGAAGTGCGTCGTCCCGAAGCAGAAGAACACCGCCACCGAGCAGCAGTAGCGGCATTTGTACTCAAGGAAATCGGTGCCGTGCTTGGGACACATCTGTGCCCTGGCCACGTCCGAGCAGCCGCCGCAGACCAGCTCTTCGGGATCGAACTTCTCGCCAATCTCCGCATCGCAGCGCGCCTCGCCGCCGTAGTATGCCTTTTGGCACTTGAAGCACACGTAGTAGGCATACCGATCCATCGCCAGTTGAGTCATGTTGACATCCTTGCTGTCCGTGTCCTTCACCACGCCCTCGTACTTGATGCTGCAAAGGAAGATATGGGTTTGGATTAGCAATTGGGCAGGACAAAGGACCCTCGTTTCCTTACCGCATGAGAGCCTTGCGCTTGACGTCCTGTTTGAGTCCATTGATCGGTTCCAGGATGTCTGCCAACAGGGGATGCTGGATGTCCGCCTTGCAGATGGGACACAGGGAGAAGCCAAAGGTTATGCGTGGTCCGCTCCAGCGCTTCTCCAGCACCGCCTTGCAGCAGTGGTAGTGGAACACATGACCGCACTCCAGCTGCAATTCAAAAAAGGAAAATCAGAGTGGGTTTCCCCGGGGGCACTACAAATACTCTTACATGTATGGAGGGAGCACAGGACACCGCTTCCACAAAACAGATCATGCACATGTCGTCCGCATCCTGGGTGAGCTTGGGATCTCTCAGCTCTTCGGCCAGTTCGTTTTCCCGTGCATGGCACACGTGCTGCAGACAGGGCAGGCACTTCCGCTCGCCCGTAACTCCTCCGCACGCATGGCCACATGGTTTGGTCTTCAGACACGAGTTGGCCGCGTACTCCTGGCACTGGGCATCCGCACACACGTTGCCGATCTCCAACAGCCCCGAGTTGCCGGTGAGCCCGCAGAAGCGACATCTGCCCACCGCCTCCTGGGGACCCGAGATGATTGTGTGACTGCCGTCGCGGAACTCCACCATGGCCTTCAGGGTCTTCGAATCGGCCAGAGCCAAAAGCCAGAAGAGCTTGGTGCGGCCGCAGGACTCATGCAGCTCCACGCGAATGGCCTCCTCCTCCTCCTTGCAGACCTGTTACAGAAATTGGATGAGGTTATATGGATTGATCAGGTATGGGACATAAGGTTAACTCACCGTTCGCTTGTGGGAGCGTGTCTTGCGGTTCAGATGCAGAAAGCGATCGCAGTCACCGCAAAGGGATCCGCAGGTCTCGCACTGGATGATGGCGGCCGTTTCGCCATCGTCATGGTTACTGCATAAGGGTCGTGTATCGCACAGCTTGGACCACTGACCGGAGGAGAGCTTCTCCACGTGGTCGCGCTCCAGGACGCACAGGCTGGCCAATGCCAGCCACAAAGTCGAGGTCTTGGTGCAGTGCTCCGGCGAGCGGTAGATCTCCTCCAGCCGGGTGAGATTCAGCACGGACTCGGCTATGGCCGCCTTGGTGATCTGGGACCACTTCTCGCTGAGCTTACCCTGTATAGGTGGAATTAAAAGAAGATTAATATTTAATGGGCCTTTGGAAATCCCAAGGATTCACTTACGCTGGCCAAATCCCTAATGAGACCGATAATGCTCTCCGCCTGCTTGGTGGAGATGACTCCGTTGAGGAACCACCGCTGATTAAGATTCCGTTTCGATTCCTTCCTCGGCGGTAGGGCTTCGAACTGGAAGGGATCAGGTCCTCCCGGCTCTCCGGTGGGCGGTCGCGATCTTAGCTGCTGCACGGAGAGATCCAGCGAGCTGCAGAGCCTCACGAAGGCTGGGGTTTTCTCCGGCTGGCCTGGCTTGAGAGCAGATCCACCTCCGGATGATCCTCCGCCTCCAGATACAGATGTAGCTCCTCCTCCGGCAGAGACCGCTGTGGTCTTAACCTTGACCTGCAGCTGCAGGGACTTGGCAATCACGGCCAGGAATATGTCCAGCAAACCCAGTCGACTCATATCGAAATCACTGGCCGACTGATGAGCGATACTATAATCCGCTGGCGGTAATCTTTGCACGCCCAATAACTCCGCAAAGCTCTCCGGCGATATTTCCGGTAGAATCCGGCGCAGCAAGGCCGTAACCTGTCGCTGCACTCGATCGCTTCCGGTGTGCAGTAGTCCCAGGAGATCTCTCAGCAGACCATGTTGCTGGGAGAGATACGAGCGACCCACCACGCTGCCCGACAGAGCCAACACCATGCTGAGCATCTCGAAGCAGTAGGTGTCCGGGGCTCGACTTCTCTCCGGCGAACTCTCGCTGCTGGCGGAAGCGGGCGCTGGTAGGGATTGCAGCTGGGGTGGCTGCTTTAGGGCATGAGCCAGGTTGGCCAGCTCCCAATCCTCCTTGGCCCGCTGCGCCTCCTTGCGAATCGCATGGACAATGTGCACGATCACCTGCTTTTGCAGGTGCGACAGTTTGCTGCGCGAGAACAGAATGCCCACCATGTGCTCCCTGAGATCGAGGGAATCGGCCAACAGAGAAGTGCTGGCTGCTCCGCTACTCTGCGGTCCTATGCCCGCCGAATCCGGTGGCACCAGATCCGAACCCACGTTGCTGATCAGTTTGCCGAACACCTGACCGGTGATCAGTCGGAAAACTCTCAGGGTTTCCGCCTCGCAAATCTGTTGTTGGATGCGCGATGCATGACTCAATCGCAGGTGCGGCTGGTGCTTGTGATCCGAGGCATCCTCTAGGCCCACCGATCCTCCCGTGGGCAGGCCGAGCAACTTGATCTGGCGCACACGCAGTGTGTTTTCGGGACCATGGAGCTCCAACCGGAAGTGCGTGCAGCTGTCGTCGCAGATCTTCGCCGAAATCCAGGAGCATGCTTTGGGATCCACGTCCGCCGACTTTATTACATTCGTGTCGCCCAGCGACTGTCCGGCATAGAACACCACGTTGAGCACCTTGTTCTGCAAAAATAAATGAAATAAAATCAATAAGGTTTATGGAACTTAAAAAAAAGGAAATTATTTATGTCAAATTTAGCAAAACCATATAAATTAAAAACAAAAGTTTAATAATTAAAAATAACTAGAGGAGAGGTTCCCGGGGACTTACCTGAATGTCTCGACTATTGTCGATGTGCACCAGAAGATAGCGACAGGCGTAGTTCAGTTTGGTGAGGGACAACTCGATGATCTTGCACTTGTTGCGATCCTCTTCGTCGCTCTCCCAGAATGTTTCCGTTGAGTTGTCCGTTAGGGACTCCGCCATGGCTGGGCGCGAGGACACAGTGACCTCGAACATGCCCGCCAGATCAGTGTAGCAGAGGAGCCGAGCTCCTGCTCCCGATCCTCCCGACGCCACTGGATGCACCTGATTGTGCTCCGCATCGCAGTCGGGCTTCACGATCATCGAAACGGCCATGGCGTCGTTCTGTTCGTCTGATTTGGATAGTATTTTCGAGATGTTCCCAAACACATGAGAGCTGTGCAGGAACTGGTGGTCCGCCTGGCGGAAACGGATGCCAAAGCACTGGATTGCAACCCGTTGCAGTGGTGATCCGAGTGGCAGGTGGAGCGTGAGATCCGCCACCGATTGCAGGAGCACGTGCAGCGACTGGGTGATCAGATGGGCGAACCTTCCGCTGATCTGGGTGTAGGCCACCGGGTGCTCCAGTGCCGGCTCGGAGGCCTCCTCGCCCCGGCCCTCTGGCTGATGACCTCCGGTGGCGGTCAGTGAGCTGACAAACCACCACATCAGATCGTGCAGACACACGCCCTGGGTGACGCTCCTCAGGAGCCAGTTGAGCGCTTGCAGGGCATATATCCTGCAGGCTGCAATCCTCAAGCTCCTTCGCATGGCCGCCCTGAGTCTGTCCAGCTCGTGTTTCTGCGTGATGAACGCCATGGCGGGACGGGTAAGCAGTAGGTTACCCCCACCGTTTTGTCCAGCCGACTGATCAAATCCCAGCGTGCCAGTCGAATGATCCTTGATGACTGCTCCATCGGCAGTTGTCTGCATGACGGACACACTGGCCAGCAGCTTGGGCGGCACCAGGCGACGCAGATGCTCCGAGGGATAGCAGATTAGCAGGGATCCGTCGCCCTCGCTGGTGGAGTTGTTCCTTCGCCGGTAGACGACCTTTGGCTGACCCTCCACCGCTGGCGGCTGGTGCTGCTGGAGCTGCAGATGCAACTGTTGCTGCTGGTGGTGGTGCTGCTGTTGGTGATGCTGTTGCGGGTGGTTGTGCTGGGCCAGAGACGCCCAGCCCTGTCCCATGGAATAGCTGCGGTGGAACTTGGACAGGTTACCACCACCCACTGATCCCGGACCTGTGCCGGCGGCTGTGGCACCTGGCGCCAAGGATCCAGGAAGCAGCTCGTAGTTGTTCGGTTCGCAGGACTCGTAGGAGATCTCGGAAAGGGGCTGTTGGATGAAGGATTCCATTAGAGAGGTTCTAGATGTAGATATCCCACTACTCACCCTATCGTAACCATTGTCATTCGACGAGGGTCCCAGCCCAAACATTTCGTAGGGCAGATCCTCGTGTCCAGCCGTGCCCAGGCACTCCAGACAGGCGAAGCTCTCGGGCGCCAGCCAAACGTTCTCCGGCGCTGCCGGCGGTCCGCCTACGAAGCTCTTGCGGAACGCTCCGCTTCCGACTCCCGGACAGAACTTGGAGCCACTTAAGCGGGCCATCCGGCTGCAGCGACTGGTGCTCGGCTTCAGGTCAGAGTTGCCCAGTTGGTGCTCGATCACCACGGGCATGGCCACCACAGACATCTGCTGGGGGGATCGCTTGGGATTGGAGCTGCTGGCGGCCAGGCTGCCGACTGCCCCGGACGCAGAGCTGGAACTCGAGCAGAGCTCCAGCAGGAACGTGGCGTTCTCCCGCATGGTGGTATACACCTCTGCATTGGCTATCAATGTAGTGGACTTGACCCCAAACAAGTTCAGCTCATTGCCTGGAAGATGGAAAAGGGATTGGTATTAGGTTATTGCTCTAGCATAATCTATCTGTGGGTATCATCTCACCTTCGGCGGCATTGGACTCCAGTTGGCGGGCGGCACTATTGATGTTGTTGACGCTGCGACAGGAGGCTAGGTATCGATCCCGGCAGGGATCGCACATCAGGAACCAGGAGGAGGCTCCCTTGCCGCCCTCGCCGCAGTTGCCCGCCCATCCCTCGCAGAAAATGCCCACGGAGTTGTAGCCCTTGCCCTTCGCCGATTTCCCGCAGCCCGGATGGGCGATCCTCATGTGGTAGGTCACCGGCATGGGCAGGAATAGTTCGCAGATCTCGCACCAGCTCCCGTCGTCCTTCTTCTTGCGCTTGCACTTTCTGCCCAGATCCTTCTCCCCGCCGGAACCCTGATCGGAGCACTTGCCATCCTTGCCCTCGGTGTCCGCATCCCCGTTGAGATCCCGACTGCCGGGCGAGAGCAGGCGCGGCTCCCTCTGCTCCAGGGCATTCGACTGGACGATCTGGACGCAGCCGGAGCAGATCTGCTCCCACAAATAAACCAGACAACGCAGGGCTGGCGGCAAAACGCTGACCATCTCGGGCAGAGCCTGCAGCTTCTGGGCCTGATCCTCGCCGGGATGGGTGACTCCTGCTCCGATGAGCATGTTCTTCCGGTATTTGGCTCGATTGTGCAGCGAGCAGTTGCCACTCTTGGTAAGGGACTCCAAGGTGCTGGGCCGGATGTTTAGGTAGTTGCCTGCATTGGCCACTTCCACGGAGTGCCGCTGCTGAGCCTTCTGCTCCCGCGACAGCTGCACCCGGGGATCGCCGGCGTCGCCCCGCCTCGTGACCACCGTGGCGCCCTCCTTGGGCAGTCCCGGGTGGAACTTGAGGAAGCTGGCGCAGGCCATGGCATCGTGGACGACACCCTCGTGCCAGAGGAGGGCGGCAAAGACCGCCCGGATGCTCTCCGCGAAGGAGGGGGGCATGGCCCGCTTGATGGGACCCATGGCGGCGCTCCTCTTGGCGGCTGCAGACGCCGATGCCGTAGAGGTGGTGGCCAGCTGGAGTTCGCTCTGCTGCTCCCCCTGACCCGTTGTGGTGGTGGTGATCTGCAACAGACTTAGGTCATCCTCTAGGCCACTCGTATCCGTCGGCGCCAGGACGGCACTCCGCTTGGGCGTGTGCTTGGGCGTGGAGAGCAGCGCCGCCGTTTGGCTGGCCGAGTAGTTGGGTCTCCTCATGCTGGCCAGACTGAATTCCGGCTCCTGCGCATCCTGCTGGCTGCGATTCCCGTTGCCTCGCGGCGAATCCTGGCCGCCCATGGCGCGCACCAGCTCCCGCACCGAAACTCCAGCCAGGGGCGGCGAATGAGAGGGCGTCAGCGGTTGGGCTCCGTCCACGGCATCACCCTTGAACCACTTCTGCAGCGCCTGCAACTTGATAGCTCCGCCGCCCACCACTCCGGCAATGGCGGAGCCTATGTGGGCGGGCAGCAGCTCCACGGCGGGCAGGGCCTCCTGTTCCGGCTCGCGATCCTCGGGATTCTCCTCCTCCGCCCGCTGCTCCTCCTCCTTTTGCCGATCCTCCTGCGCTTGGGCCTCCCGCTCCGCGAGATCTGCATGCTTGGAAGGGTAGAGGAAGGGATTGGTGGACTGATGGCCGGCCAGGAAGCGCGGTGGCTTGGTTTTGGCCGGACTGAGGACTGGACTGGGATCCGGCTCTGGCTCGGGACTGGCCTCGCCACTGCCCGACGGACTGACCGGCGGTGGTTCCTCCTCCTCCTCGGCTGCGGCCGCCACGCCCTTGCGCAGCGGATTCACCTCCTTGTCCGCGACAGGCTGGAGAAGCATCCTGGCCAGGTGCTGGTTGAACTGCAGGCACCACGCCTCCGTGGGATACCAGCCCATGGTGCAGTGCTGCCGGATGGACTCCGTGGACAGGCGCAGCCAGACTCCGTCATCGTTCTCGATCTCGTCGATGAAGGAGATCACTCCGCCCACCCGCACCACGCCCACCTGCTCCGACTGCAGCGTGGGATGCGATCGAATCCGCAGTCCTGAACTATGGCGCGCCTGGAAATGGAAATGGAGAAATTGGGCATATCATTATTGGAGGGTCTTTCAATGATCATTTCAACAATAACCTATAGAACTAACGGTGTTATACACCGAAAACTTGGTATTTTATCTTCAACATAAAATCTTTTAAAATATATAAAACAAAGTACCAAAGAAGTCCATTTAAAGAAAAGGTCTGTAAAAAAGTATTTAACATTTTTAGAAACTTACTCATTAATGAAATTATAAAAAGCCTTGGTCGATAAATGTTTAAGCTACAACTATTTCACAATACAACCGATAAATTTCAGGCTCTTACTTTAATGCAAATCTTAGAAGCTTTGGTTGGTAAATATTTAAGCACATTGAGGACATTATTTTTTATAACTTTACTATTTTCTCATTTTGATAACGTCCGTAGACTTATATTATGTACCATAATATCCATCAGTCCAATTTTATGGACTAGTGAAGGAAAATATGTTTATTTTTATAAGCGTTACTCGTAAAGTAAAAGGGTATATTAGATTCGGCGGAAGGTACGAAACATGTAGAAGAAGGCATTTCCGAGCCTATAAAGTATACGTGTTCTTGATCAGGTGTCGATCTACCCATGTCCGTCTGTCCGTATGAACGCTGACATATCTTCAACTCCCCTTAGCTGAGTAATGGCGTGTTTTTGTGGTGTGAATTCTCGGAAACGGCCGATTTGTCGGTTATCTAATAGTCTATTTATTGTACTATATGCACTAAGAGCGTGTTACGCGCGGCCCCATTCTTATTTCGGGCAAAAAAGGTTTGCGAGGAAGGTTATAAGGAGAACGTTATAATTATTAGAAAGAACGCGAAAGGTCTCGCGCTAAGCCCTTAGATGTACATCGTAGGAAGTCGTTTGTACAATCAAAGATAAGCCATTTTTATATAAACATTTTTTCCATTGATATGCCAAGTTTAAGTTCTCCTCAAGTTAGATATTTTTACTGGTTGCACTGGTTTTTTTTTAAAATACCATATACCCTATCTTCACTTTGGAAGTTCCTCAGTCTATAACTGAACTAGATGATCTATTTGCCTACCTGAAAGCGGCGCAATTTGCTGGGCGCCTGGGGCCTCCGCTGGGCACTGCTCCTCTGGGTGGGTGGCGGCAGGATGCCCTCCTTGACGTCCACGCGGTAGACCTCCTCCAGCGGAATGCCATCGATGGTCACCGCCAGGCAGTAGGCACCCACCGAACTGGGCGTCCACTGGACACTGAAGGTGCCGTCCTCCATGTCCTTGGCGTTCAGGAGTTCTGTGACGCGGGTTTGCACCGGACTGGCGTAGCGCAGTTCCTCGAACGAATAGTTGGTAAAGGGCTTCATGAACGTGATGGCCTTGAAGACCATCTTCTCCTTGGAGGTGGGCTCGTAGTTGAGGCGCGGTGGCGGCGTCATTCCGCCCCAGCCCCAGGTGTCGCCGGAGGCACGTCGCATCCACAGATTCGGACCGGGCGCAGATACTCCGGCGGCCGAGGCACCGGATGTTCCCGTCCCGCTTGCATTTCCATTCGGACCCGAGCCCGTGGGTATCGCCTTGATCTCCACCTTCAGCTCCGGCACCAGAACCGCATCGCCGTACTGATCCCGAATGGTGACCGTCACCTGGGAGGGCCAGCCATAACGCAGTGGCTCCGTGATCGTGTTCAGCTCACATCTGCAGAGGAATAGAAGGGAGTTAAGGGATTGAGTACATAAATATTTAGATCTGAACTTCTAGACATACTTATTGGGATCGAGTCGCGACTCCGGCTGCAACCAGGCAGCCAAACGGGCGCCCGACGATCCTGGCGCCCCGCTGATAAAGTCCTTGAGGAACTGCCGCTCATTGGACTGGGATCTGAAAAGGTTGGAAAAACAAGAATAGCATTAGGACATTTAATTATTTTTAAAAAAAATCGTTTAAGATTACATTATTATTGTAATGATATTAAGAATTCTTTTGTTTTATGCCTTTGGCCCACTTTATTGATTTCTTCTTGCGTTCCAAATCATTTCGTACCATTACATTACGTCCCATTCTAAGCTAATACGGATTCCACTCCATTATATCCCAACCCCTTTCTTGTTTTCTCTTCCGTTTCAATACCATCCGTTTCATCCCAGTACCTCCTTATAAATTTCATTCCCATTCATTCCCGCAAAATAATCCTATTGGGGTTAATATTTTCTGCTAATAAAGTAATTATATAGGTAACATTATATCCCACCCCCTTCCTTGTTTTTCTCTTCCGTTTCAATGCAATCCGTTTCATTCCAGTATCTCCTTATAGGTTTCATTCCCATTCATTCTCGCAAAATAACCCTATTGGGGTTAATGGTTTCTGCTAATGAAGTAATTAAATAGGTAACCATTTTATAAACACTACTTTGAATGTAGTGACCTCTCTTTTAAAAGGCAGGTAAAACCCAAACATCTTACATTTTATTCCATTCAGCAGAACCATATTTTATAATTATTTTGATACAACAATATATTTGTAAATATCCTTTAATAGATCCAAAATATTTTTAAATCATAACGATGATGGAATATAGATGTATACATTTGTACCAGTGAGAACTTCTCTTTAAGATTGCCTCCCTGAGACAGGGGTCAATGGCTAAGGTCACGGAGTGATCAGGTAGAATTGCGGGGCACTTAAATCCATTCCTTCCCAATCGAATCCAATCAGAGGCCCAGCATCAAAGATGGACCGCCCGGCTGACCTGCGGTTCGCAGGCGGAAGGTGAGTGGCACGTAGGGAGAACGACTGGAAGTGGAGGGGGTTGACTGGAAAGGGTCGAAGGGCACGTAACGGCACAGCGGGCGGTGCACGTGTGTGAGTGAATGGACGAACTCGCGACCCAGGGACAAACGGACAGGCACGCACATGCAGCGACGTGTGAGAAAATAAAAGATCCTAAGGGATCCGTTTTCGAACGAACACACATATAATACCATAACATAACCATAGTCTTAAGATAGGGTAACGCTTGCTTATCAGAAGGTGATATTTTTTTTGCAGAAAATAAGATAAGATCGTGATTAAACTATTTACTATCACAAAATACGCATCATTGAAATCTATATTACCATATCTACAGGTTTTGGAAGTTAAAAACCGATAGTGCAAAACGAACTATATAGCTCACAAGCTATGAAATGCGTTTAACTGATAGCTTATCAAAAAGAAGAACACGGTTATCCAGGTGATCTAACTCGTGACAATCTTTCCGCCTTTTTGGGAAGTGGGGGTGTAATGGTCGCATTTTGGGGAATATATGGAAATGAGAAGGGGAAACCGAAACACACACAAAGCTGCGTACACACACATTTGTTTTATTTACATAAAGAGCAAATAAAACAATAACAAATAAATGCAAACGAAATGGAAAATGGGAATCAAAAAGGGGGTTGGTGGAAGGTGGAGTTTTAGTTTTCCAACGAAAATGATAATGTCAGTCGGGGACCCCAGTATTATGAGTATAGTACTCCACCTCATGGAGGCGACCCTGCACTTCACGGTGAAAATAAAAACAAAACACAAACGATAATTGGGGGGGGGGATTTAAGAGCAACAATAACAACAAAGGGCAGCAGCCAACTGTGGCCACATGTGTGTGTGTGTTGGGGTGCGTGAGTGTGCGTGAGCTACCTGTGGGAAACACGTTTCCACTGCAATTTAACCCCAATGCCCCCCTAAATATGTTCCCCCTTTTCCCATCGCCCACCTACACTAAAAAAATCTTTACGGTTATTTTAAAGTTAGAGGGAATTCACATTTGCTACATATGCATACATATATGAAGTAAAGACTTGGGAATTATAAGCTCTTTATCAATATGAGCTTATAATTCCCAAGTGCTTATTTCCAAGTGGTAATTAAGTGAATTTACTTTACAGTCTTCCGTAAATAGGTTCCGTAAAAGTATTTGTGTTATTATTTCAATAGCTTATTTTAAGTTTAAAGGTATTACCTTACACTATCCTATAATTTCCAAGTATTTACAAAAATTCAGTAGTGCTTAAGGTGTTTATCAATGACATAAGTATCAAAACCATAAAGTATAACCCTACGAAGGTGCCTAAATAACATTTGTAACATTTGTTACCACTTTTCGTTAAGTGTACTCCCGCAAACAAATGGAAATGGAGCGCAGAGAAACAAGTTGCGGGGTCCCAACTGGAGTTGCATTGGTAGAAAGGGATAGGGCGATAGGGCCCGGTTGGGGGAGTGAGCGAGAGGGAGACAAGGGGTATACGCGTGTGTGCTCCCTATTGCGGCAATGTAATCGTTCATTCATTCATTCAATTCAGTTTTTATCGTGCCACAAAATGCGGAAGAGTTGTCTTGTCCAAAGGGGCAAAACAACAACAAAATATAAGGGGGATAGCGAAGCACTGAGAGGGGGACAGACAGATAGATCGACAGAAGGCAAGAGGGAGACAAAGGCACACAAAGTATATGACATTCGTCAAATTGTTTATCGCTCACTCAACTCTGGAAAAGTCGAACCAGTCCAAAATTATAATCTGATAAATGTAATAACAAAAAGATATTTTAATAACTATAATTTAATTTTCAAGAAACACGGTATTCCTCGGGTTATACCCAAAAGAAAATATGATTTTCCAAAGTTTTAGGGATAATACGAGTAAAGCCTGCAAATGCAAGTCGGAAAAAGTCTTGAAACTGTTAATATTTTAGTATTTACTTAAATTTCAAGACGGTGTATCATTATTAATATTTTATTCACCTAATGACGATTTATGGTCAAATGATATGGGTATTTTATTGATCCAAAGTAATGGAAACGAAAAGTTGTGCTTGTGCTTCACTTAAAAATCTCCGGGGATTACTCTGGCACACCCCCATTATAAGGCCTATTTCGTACAAACTTTGTTTTGGGAAACCGGGGATGTTTAGGAAGGGAAAATATCATGAGGAGATCTGAAACTCAGACAAAAATCACCGACGTAATAATTGAATGGTTCGGAATCGGGCGGGGGACCCGTATTTCTGGATGTCCCACCCGGAATGATCGGCTCTCTCTTTCTCTAGCTGCTTCTCTTTTTCTCTGCCGGTTGGAGCGGTGCTACTTCCGCTTTCCGTTTTGAAATCAAATTGAACGCAAATTGATTTGCTGCAATGTAGGAGGGATGCCTCAAAAATGGGAAAGGGGCATTATCCATCGCTCTCTAATGGCTGCAATTAAATTAACCAACCCATTCACCTCCTTATAAGGAAAGCTCTAGAAATAATACGTCGTCTTAAGCCTTAAATGTGTGTGTTATCAGTGATAGATAAGTTGCAGTATTCATGTGCATTGAGTAGTGATTAATTGAAAGTCATATAATTGCCCAAATGTACATACATTGTATGTATAAAACTAGTTAAACTTTCCAAGTCTTCGCTATGGCAAAGTTATATGTACATATATGCTCAGAGGGGTATAAAAATATGCAGTGGATGACAAAAGATCACAATAAAGGGCGACTTAAAGTGGATTTCATCAGTTCTGGTTCTCCTTCTTCTCCGGTTTATCTTCTCCGGCTCGTCTTCTTCTTACTTATGTATAGACCCAGCATGAAATGAAATAAAAAGCAGTTCAGCTGATTTAATTTATCGAAAAGCCCCGTCGAGAAGCGGCGGAGATCAGCTGTGAGGTCTCCGAGAGAAGAAATGAGAAAGAGAGCGAGGGAGGCGTGCACTGAGCGAAACCATTTCTCTTCCATTATTACCCTACACGAAAATATTGTATGGTTAACATTTACCAATACGGATAGTTATGTAACTGTTAAAAAGGTTAAGAACTATTAAAAACAGTGACGTGTTCTTGCTTGGTTACTATTTAATAGTAAAACTACCATAAAATGGTACGTTTTGTGTACTTTTTGTTAGGAGAGTAACTATTTCGTTGGTCAAAGTGACAATTCGATGAGTTTTTATCTAAAAGTTTTATGTGTGTACCTATTGATATCACTGTGATTTTCTTCAAATAGGCTGCTTGAACATTCAAAAATTTGGATTTTATATCCCGTAACTAAAATATATGCTTGCTTTTGCGAACTCTTTTTTTTGTAGAAAGCGTATTTGTCAACTTAAGGCCTATAATGATTTTTTTTTTTTCTTAGAAAAAACTGGACTAGAACCAGTTGGGAAAAATGTATATATGATTATAATTAGATGTTATTATGATATTTTAAAATGTAAAAAAGGTATAATGAAGCCCTTGAAATTACAGATAACACCTTTGTATTATTTATTCCATTTGTCGTTGGTATCGTATGTGTATTTATAACCTCTTCCCCGATCCTCGCAGTGTAGTACGCATGCGATGACGAACCACTGTATTGGTATATACATAGACCCGAGAGAGCGCTATTATAACTCTCACTTGGTACCCGAGAGTGGAACGGCGAACGAGTAGCGCTCGATCGTTTTATTACCGGACGAACTGCCAACGGGAAAGCAACAAGTTGAACGTGCGGGTTATTTCTTCACAACCGAGACTCGGGGCGTTCTTTTTTTTATATTTTTGTTTCTTTTTTTCCTATTGATGTTCTAAAATATTTCTGTGGATGACGAAGATCCGCATTAATATGTGTTATAAGATCGCTGATCGCCAAAAAGAAAGAGGGCTATAGTGTAAAGTGCCCCCTAACGTTTTTTTTACTGAGAAAATTCATTGCCAAAACGAAAACGAAATTGTTATAAACAACAGTGAAAAAAAAGTGAAGAAGATCCCAAGATTCGAGAAAACAAACATAATGAATTCGAAATGCATAGCACTGACATGTCTCATTATCGTAATTTCGATATTGGGTGCATTTGCCTATCCGGAGCGCTACGATCG